TGCCTCCTCTCTACTTCCATAGACCTCTCGCTCCCCTTCATACCCCTACTCCCTTTCTCTCCCGCTTTCTTTTTCTCTTTCTTACTCCCTCCTTTATTTGTACCACTATGTTCCGTACTTGCTTCACTTTCCTCTCCATCACTATCTCCTACCATCTCTGACCCATTCACAGCACGGCCGTGCCGAACCTCTGCCACACAGAGTAAAGTTTGTTTGTTTTTCAATGATTTCAAAAATCCCTCTCGATTCACAACCGTCTGTCGTGGTTCGTCCGTGTCGCCCCACCCTTATGAACTGGGAAGAGCAAGAGGATTTGAAGGTGGAAAAGTTGCCGCTTAACATTGCGTCATGACGTCAGATGTCTGTGAAGACCACGCATTTGCACGCGTAAGGAGAAAAACCAATCTCTAGGCTTCCATTGAAACATAAATATTACATTGAGGGGAATGTAAATGTATTTAGGTTGAACGAATCCACAAGAAATAGGTTGAAACCACTAAAGTATAATTTTTAATAAAACTAATCCAAAAACATATATACATTGAGGACACACTCATTTTCACTTCTTTCAGTGTAGCGGTCAAACAGGAAAATGTTGAAACACTTGAAATAAGGGCTATGTTTTGTGTAGGCTTATCCTGGCATGACATTTTGATAACCACGTAAATCTCTCTCGGACAAGGTGACTTTATCAATATATTCGTCTCTATTTACTCTCAGATTCTAAAATGCTAATTGGTATCAAAGTAGGCATCATGCAAGACAAATCCCTGCAAGCTCCTCCACGTCATTTCTAGCTGACACCTTTGCTAACAGAAATTGTTTCAATTTAAAACTTGCACAAGACAGTTCACAGAATTGTAAATTATTAAATGTTTTGTCAATTGATTATTTACTATATTTAGCTAACATTAGATAGTTAAATCTTTATGAATAATGTTTTTTTTATTTTTTAAAATTTTTTATTTTTGGGGGGGGGGGGGGGGGGTAAATACAGGCACATATATTGATAAAAGTCAACTTGTCCAAGAGAGATTTACATGGTTATCAAAACGTCATGCCAGAGTAAGCCTACACGAACACAGCCCTTATTTTAAGTGTTTCTAAAATCCCCTATGGGAAAAATGAATGCTGGAAAAACGATTGGAACCATTTCGGTTTGACCGCTAGGTTTTATGGGTATTATGACTCTATACGCGCACACACACAGGCTCGGGGACAACCGGAAGGTTTTGGGTGTTCGAAGAAGCTTCACGTCAGTGTAGAACGTATGCTTTCAAATCTCAGAAGTTCTGTACATTTTAGCATTTAATCATTGCTGTTCTGCTACAGATATGTTTCAACACAGATCCAAACATTGCTTGTGCACAATTGAGAACTGTAATGACTGAAAGGGTCTACAGTGTGGAGGATAGTATACTACAACATCTTCTGGACATGAGAAACATAACATCAATGCTGACTGGGGAATGAACCTGAAGGAGTAACAGGTATAGGAGAGGTAATCAATGACGTGATGGAGTCTAGGTGAATCCCATAATTAAGCGCAGTTGCGGGGGCTCTCACTAACTGTAAGTCGCTCTGGATAAGAGCCTCTGCTAAATGACTAAAATGTAAAAAAAAAAAAAAAATGTAACGATGGTGGCAGGTGTGCTTAATGAGTGAACTGGTGACCTCAAGCAAACATACTTTCTAACACTCCGACCATATTGTAAAAGAAACCAGATGCAATAAAAAAGAGACAACCATTACAACATTAATTTCTGTGGACAAATGAATGACTACATTACTCACAGTTCAGAAGAATCTCCCCTGCTCCTCTCAACTCTCCTTTTAGTTCATTACATAGGAAGGAGAGAGATCAGTCATAAATACACAAGCATTTCGCTACACCAGCAATAACATCAGCTAAAAATGTGTATGTGACCAATAACATTTTATTTTATTTTGACAAGAAACATAAACAAGATCTGTTTGGTCAACAAATCATGAACAGGAGGGAACGAGCCAGTTACTTTGATATCAAGATGAAAGGTAAATATGGTATGCTAGGGGTAGGGAATAGTGAACGAGAGTGGATGAAGTGATCACATTAGTCTTTGTACCCACTGTCACAGTGGTTTATCCGCATCATACAAATGTAATGCCTTCCCGGTTCAGAGACTTTGTTGTTAAGTGAAACAAAACAAACCATGGAAAGAAAGAAGAGGGGGGAAAACAATACCATAGGGGGAAAAAACTGTATTCAAGTTGTTTCATTTTGTTGACATCAGGTTATGCTGTTACTTATTACATCTGATCTGCCTGTACTTTTAAAGGCATGGTGTTCACACTACACTTCCCCCAGTACTCCCACTGTGAAAAAAGTCCATGTTTCTGAAAAACACAACGATATTACTCTATTACTCTACTTGGGCAGCATTTTGGTTTTGAGCTCTCGGTCGCTCACCGGGTGGGGCTGATTGTACAGGGGCTGTCCCTGACCAATGGGCCTGATTTGACCAGGGCGTGGTTTCACAACAGGGAAGGTGAAGGACGGTAACATCTCAATATGAGGGGGTGCAGTGGCATTAATAGAAATGTCTCTAAGATACAGTGACAACAGTTACAGCACGCTGGTCTTTCAATGGATACAAGTTCACATACTAAGTGAAATAGTCTTGGATGATGTCCTAAGGGTGATATAGGGAGCTCATGTCAGCGGACACTTTTTTGGAACGGGCGTGTCGCGGGGGCTGTCTGGAGGGGGCTAAATCTAGTCCCCGCTACTCGCCCGTTCCAAAAAAGTGTCCGCTGACATGAGGTCCGCTGACATGAGCATTGCTCTTGACTGACATCCTATAAACTCATGACAGTACTTTTCTATATCCCCAGTCATGAAGGGCCAGTAAAACTGTTCTGGACATCTGGACAGTGTCTTTTTATAACCCATTTGACCCACTGAGGGGTGTCAATGTAGATCCTGCAACACCTGAGGGAGAACTGAGTCTGGGACAAAATTCTGCAGGGAGGTCTCACCTGAGCTATCATATGAACGCTGGCAGACCAATCGACAGCTAACCATCAGTCATGGTTGAATATATCATGGGTGCACCTAATAAACTGGCCGGTGAGTGTATATCATCCCTGTGCAGCTTATTACCATTTAGTCAGTTCTCTCCTCTGAGATCTCAAAGACTGTCTTGAATAGCACATAGCCTAAATAATGCTTTTCTGTGTTCTTGATGCAGTCATATTAAATGCAACCATACATCCTTACACCCTGACCAAATTGCCCAATAAACCAGATGCAATAAAAACAAGACAACTGTCCCATTGCAACATGAATTTCTGTGGAAAAATTAACCACCCTACATTACTCATGTATAACGCAAGTGTTTAGCAACCCAAAGATTGTGTGTTCGAATCTCATTACGGACAACTTTTGCATTTGAGCTAATTAGCAACTTTGCAACTACTTGCTACTTTTTTGCTACTTTGCAACTACTTAGCATGTTAGCTAACCCTTCCCCTAACCTTAACCCTTTTAGCTAACCCTTCGCCTAACCCTAACCCTTTAACCTAACCTCAACCCTAAACTTAACCCATAACCCTAACCCCGAGAGCTAGCTAATGTTAGCCACAACAAATTGCAACTCGTAACATATCATACAAATTGTAATTCGTAACATATCATACGAAATGGATGATGGACATCCACAAATTAATACATACCATACGAAACATAACATATAGTAAATAGAGTACCTCGGATTTACAAACAGAAAGATACAAAATGCTCTGAGACCATGTTGGGTCCGCTGGGAAAGGGTAATGGCATTTTACTACCAGTACCCACTTTACTTGGGGTAGGATATAGTGTGCATGTGTGTGTGAGTAAGTGAATGAGAGTGTATGAAGTGATGAGTTTCACGTGAGTTTTTGTTGCCAATGTCACAGTGATTTATCTGTGTCATATATTGATTGTCAAATGGACAGTGGTGGGAAAAGTACCCAATATTCATACTTGAGTAAAAGTAAAGATACTTTAATAGAAAAGTGAAAGTCACCCAGTAAAATACTACTTGAGTATAAGTCTAAAAGTATTAGGTTATAAATATACTTAAGTATCAAAAGTGAATGTAATTGCTAAAATATACTTTTTGTATCAAAAGTAAAAGTATAAATAATTTCACATTCCTTATATTAAGCAAAACAGATGGCACAAGGGTTTCTATTTATTATTACCTTTATGCCTACACTTTTGTATCATTTCTTTTATTAATCATACTTACGATGTATGGTGGATTTATTGTTCTCCATGTTGAATCAATACTTTTTTTATACTACTCATCATTTTGAATCGTTTGCTTGGTGGAGTTGCTTGTTTTGGCCTTTTCACTGGAAATGTGAAAGAAGGCCATTCATACATCTTCAGGCTTGATATAAACTGAAGGGTTTGAAACTACGTGTATCTGATATTTTCTCCTCGACTTTAGTACATGTCGTTCTCGAATTGCGGTGGCATTTGGGCATGGCATTTTGGAAATCATTTACTAAATGTTTCTAGATTTTAAAAAAATGTCTTCACATTCAAAATCACCTAATATGGCAGCTTAATGACTTTAAATACTTTTGAACATTATGATAACATTGTGTCACCAGTAGGAGTAGTAACACCAATGACAGTAACAACAATGACACATTTTAGGTAATTTAGGATTTTCTTAAATGGAGGCCACAGATGCTCACATTTTATGGCATTAATCCTTTGTTTACTTTCTAGCATTCAAAATATTAGATATAAATCTCTAATTCCCCAAAACATCTCACCACAACTCTAATGGGTCACTATGAGGACAAGCCAATTTGCTTACCCTATGTACTTTCAACAATGCATAAACATACAGTTTTGCAGAATAAAGAACTTGTTTAATCATTGATAAACAGTTCACTATAAACAAAAACATATATGATGTGTAACTATTTGTCATTTTAAAGTGTTTTACATAGTTGCTAAGGTACAAAAAAAAAAATATATATATATCTAATGCTATAGTCCCTGCATGTCCTGCATTGAAAAATCCCTTTACAATTAATACAGTACATTCTCAATACAAATAATAGTCTCTTGAATGTTGTTGACTTCCATGTATAAGGCATAAGTGGTCTATCTCTGCTATCTATACCACACTATAAATAAACCCTATAAAGGTTCTCGCTGTTATGTGATTGGGGGATATAATACAAAGCCCATCATCATGACACGGTTTGTTCAGAGGAGGGTAGTAAATGCCACCCAGAAACAGGCTGTTTCCCCCAGTTTAGGTCAGTAGGTGGCAGACCTGTTCTGCCTTTCCTGCCAAAATGGCCTCTCAGACTCCCGAAGAGAGGTGTTTGATTTATGAATTGGAGACATTGGGGACCCAATTCCTATACCTCAAACTGATTATCACATTCATTAATCCTTATTCTAACAGGCGTAATAAACACTAGATTTGTTTAGATGTGTTGTTGTCCTTGACTGCTTGGATCCTACAATGGAAAGTCTGAGTGTAGGGGTTTGGGCAGCAGTGTCACAGTGCACGGTTAGTTAATACTGCTTAGAGTGGAATAAAAGGAGGCAGACTAGCCAGCTAGAATACACCAGATCAAATACGTTTTCAGCTACAGTACATACAATAGCAGCCTATGGGCTTTCAGCTGTAGCCAAGACCAATGGGGCGGTCGATGCAGGGCTGAACAATAACATTAGCACTTAGGAGGAGTCTGTAAACAGTTTTTGTTCCCACTCTAACAGAGTCAGCTAAAATCCTGATTTAAGACATGTATAACCCTAACGCTAACTAACTGATACCACATGTATATAATATACAAACTGGAGAGGAAACAGAGGAGTGAGGGTTGAAATGGCCTTTTTAAAGTGTGTGTGTTTGTTTCCCTTTTTAGAGCTGTTCTAGGAGGAGGGGGAGGGGAGGGGGTCCTTGGGTTTACCCCTCTGGACTGCCAGGCCACGACAGTGCAGATAGACACAGACAGGATGGATGAAGGCCAGCAGGCTGAGTAACGTCAGGGCTATGTTCACCTGTAGAGGAAAGAGAGAGAAGAGAGAGAGAGTGAGGAGGGGGAAGGGAGATGGGGTCACCACTCTGCAATAACACCACTTTAGAACATAATGGTAAAGGTTAAAGCCTGCTGCAAAGCTCTATCAATGGTAAAGGTAGTCTATCTGGTCATTCTGATAACAGTAGCTAAACTCACGTATAGTGGGTCTCCTCCCAGCACTCCTTTGACCAGGGTGAAGCAGGGGTACTGCAGCAGAGCCACCACTGCAGACAGAGCCATGATCATACCGTACAGCTTCCCAAAGTGACAGGGAGGAAAACTACACACACACAGAGAGAGAGAGAGAGAGAGAGAGAGAGAGAGAGAGAGAGAGAGAGAGAGAGAGAGAGAGAGAGAGAGAGAGAGAGAGATATAAAGATAGAGATAGAGATAGAGATAGAGAGAAAGAGAAAGAGAAAGAGAGATTGATTTGTTCCTACACTACAAAAGTAGGACACTAAGAATGTGAGCGTCTATCTGTGCTCCACTTATCCTGTTGCATAATGTTTGTTATTGCAAACAACTGGTGTCTGTCTGTGTGTGTGTGTGTGTGTGACTCACGCAATGCTGATGAAGGCTGCATTGCCTCCATAAAGGAAGGATCGGTTGAGGACCTGCAGGATGAAGGTGAGGTACTGGAGGGGGAGGAAGGGGGTGGAGGCACAGATGGAGAACAGGACACACTGCAGCGCCGTCAGGGTCAGGGAGAGCACTGACGCACGTAGGTCTGCTTCCTTCTCACTCATTCCTGCACACACACACACACAACACACATACACCAAACATACAGTATGTACACACACACACACACATACACGCACACACACAAACACACAGATAAGATGAGTGTTGTGTGTATAAACCCATGCTTATTTTACACCCTTCCCACGCCCCCCACACAGTTAGATATCAGGGTCAGAGAATCAAGCAGTTCTCAGGGATCTGGTGTTGAAGTTAGTTTAGAGTATAATTATACTTATGAGTTATCACAAAAAAGTATTGTACACGTTTCAGTAGTGTAAAGATGTAAATCTCGATTTAATTCTGTCTTCTCCATTACATTTCTACGCCACCTTCTTAGGTAGCATACGACACCACCACTTCAGTCACCCCCCTCCAAGTAGTAATGTATACTGAAGGTCAGAGGCTCTTCAGACCAAACGTTCCTCCAGTAAAAATCTTAATAGCAGAGCAATTTCTTTGAAAACAGCTGGACTGTTTAGACATCCTTATATTTGAGACTTGTTTTATTGAGTTTTAACTGAAATTGCAGTAATAGCCTGTTACATTCTGAAATTGTCGCCGTAGCAAATAAATTACCTGTGAAAGACGGCACTGGTCTCATAGCTCTAAAAACATTCTTGGTGTGTTTGGTTTGGAGTGTGAGTGTGTGAGGTTTCACATGTGTCTTGTAGAGAGGTTGTAGTAGTGTCTGTAGGTGAGGTTTGTACCTGGGGCCCTGGGTTTGCCCTTGTGTCGGTCCATGATGAGGCCGTTCCAGGGGGCACACAGCACCCCAAAAAGCTGGGTCACAGCAAACGCATTGGTGTATGTGCTCACTGCAGGGACAAACAGAGCGGATTAAGGACATGCTTAGAAAGAGAGAAGAGTTACACTTTAAAACAACTTTAGTATGTAAGTTTACTTTATTAAACATCAGTAAGATATTTATAAACGGTTAAGACAGTAATACACTACATGGCTAAAAGTATGTGGACACCTGCTCGTCGAACATCTCATTCCAAAATCGTGGGCATTAATATGGAGTTGGTCTCCCTTTTGCTGCTATAACAGCCTCCACTCTTCTGGGAAGGCTTTCCATTAGAACATTGCTGCGGAGACTTGCTTCCATTTAGCCACAAGAGCATTAGTGTGGTCGGGCACTGATGTTGGGCGATTAGGCCTGGCTCGCAGTCGCCGTTCCAATTCATCCCAAAGGTGTTCAATGGGGTTGAGATCAGGGCTCTGTGCAGGCCAGTCAAGTTCTTCCACATCGAACTCGACAAACCATTTCTGTATGGACCTCGCTTTGTGCACGGGGGCATTGTCATGCTGAAACAGGAAAGGGAATTCCCCAAACTGTTGCCACAAAGTTGGAAACACAGAATCATCTAGAATGTCATTGTATGCTGTAGCGTTAAGATTTCCCTTCACTGGTGTCATGACTCTCCCTGGATGAGGATCAAAGGCCTCATATCAGCTTGGCAAATGGCAGACAACAACCAGACCCTCTTACCCACAGGGGGGGCTGTGCCGCCCCTCTTTACCAGAGTGCATAAAAGACTGAGATAAGAATTATCAGATCAGACTAGATGGACCTCAAGCTGCAGCTTTTGTCCATATTGGTCCCGACCCTGAAAATCAACACGAGGTGAAGACGACAAAGTTGCCTCCACTAACAATCAACGTTATGGCTGAGTAGCTGTTCTAAGTACTGTATCTAAGAAGGTGAATTTAAGTGGGACCATCCTGTTACTCTCTTCAAACCATCATCTACTACACTGCTGTCATCACCCCACAGGGGATCAATTTCAGAAAGAGTGAAAGTAAACAGAAGACTAAGAAGAAGGACATTGTGACCTCTTGTGGACAATCTGAGCCTTACATCTGAGCCTTACATCTAAAAGGCCATCCAAAAAGAGAAGGCCCAATCGACTCTTCCCACGAAGGCCTGGGTCCAACAGAGACAACGAAGACAAACACGTAAATACATGCATTACTTCTTACCAAACAGGCGGCAGTTCTGGGCAAAGTATTAGGATTACTATGAGCATAGTTCCATGTGTATCCAAGTGTTTTTCTCTCTCTCTCTCTTCAACTCGCCATCTTTTGTAACAAGTGTCATATTGTGTTAGTCCGCTATGGACCCGTTTTCATTGTATTAAGTTTCTAATCCCTACCTATACCGTGTATGTGTTTGTATCTTGTGTTATCATTTTAAATGAGTTAGTAAATAAATAATTTAATAAATGTGTGTGGTATGGAATGATCAGTAAGACCCGTGTTTGTGCAGACTTAAAGAGCCTACGACTTTCAGAATGAGACTGATATGAGGTAAATTATTAATAAATGACTGTTAAATGATAAGAGATATCTTGATATCTTTAGAGTTATTTCGGGAAACGGTAACTCGTTAAACAACTCTTCTCGTGGTGCCCCAAATTCCTAATGAGTTAATTGTTACATGATTCATTTAATCTAGTAACAATTAAACATAGTAGGTAATTATTCGATAAATAATAGTCTATGGGATTTTATACACCTGTCAGCAATGGGTGTGGCTAAAATAGCCGAATCCACTATTTTGAAGGGCTGTCCACATACTTTTGAGTATAAGAGTATAACATCTGTCAATAGGCATTTGTATGTGTGTGTGTGTGTGTGTGTGTGTGTGTGTGTGTGTGAGTGTTTGTGTGTACCCAGAGAGGGTTCTCCCTGGGTCAGTCTCTGCAGCATGGGATTGAGGGTGCCGATGAACAGGTAGTGCCTCAGCTGCATGACAGATAGCCACACCAGGTGCCAGATGAAGAACTTGGACAGGAAACACTCCCAGAAAGTAGCCACTGAGATGGGGTGGGGGTGTGGGGTAGGTAGAGGAGGTGGGGGAGGAAGAGGTCAAATCCGTCACAAATACACACAGATTATGTAATTGCAGTAAACAAGGTCTGTATGGTCAACCAATCATGAATATATGGGACAAGGGAACAAGCAGGGCTGATATCAAGGTAACCTAAATCTACACACCTTTCTCTGCGCTCTCCTTGTTAAAAGGCGTTTCCTCCGTGACATCATCACTCTGCACGTTGCAATTGGCTGCTGTCTGCTCCGGGCTGAAGGTCTTGGTCTGGCCACAGTTTATCCTGTCACAGGAAGTAATGGTAACACTGGTTAGAGTCACACAGAGGCCAGACAGAACGGACCCACAGGGGGTGTGCTGGGGTCTCTAGTTTGTTAGAGCTTCTGCTAAGAGCAACAAACACTCAGCAGACATTTATTCCCTTGTTTCCCTGGGTGTGTTTTCTGTCCAGCTCCTGTTCTTACCCGTAGGTGTAGCCCTCAGGGAGGGGGTAGGGGATGTGTTCTTACCCCTAGGTGTAGCCCTCAGGGAGGGGGTAGGGGATGTGTTCTTACCCCTAGGTGTAGCCCTCAGGGAGGGGGTAGGGGGTGTGTTCTTACCCCTAGGTGTAGCCCTCAGGGAGGGGGTAGGGGATGTGTTCTTACCCCTAGGTGTAGCCCTCAGGGAGGGGGTAGGGGATGTGTTCTTACCCTAGGTGTAGCCCTCAGGGAGGGGGTAGGGGATGTGTTCTTACCCCTAGGTGTAGCCCTCAGGGAGGGGGTAGGGGATGTGTTCTTACCCCTAGGTGTAGCCCTCAGGGAGGGGGTAGGGGATGTGTTCTTACCCCTAGGTGTAGCCCTCAGGGAGGGGGTAGGGGATGTGTCTTACCCCTAGGTGTAGCCCTCAGGGAGGGGGGGAGTTCAGTGGCAGGAGGGTGGGATGTTCTTACCCCTAGGTGTAGCCCTCAGGGAGGGGGAGGGGGTGTGTTCTTACCCCTAGGTGTAGCCCTCAGGGAGGGGGTAGGGGGTGTGTTCTTACCCCTAGGTGTAGCCCTCAGGGAGGGGGTAGGGGATGTGTTCTTACCCCTAGGTGTAGCCCTCAGGGAGGGGGTAGGGGATGTGTTCTTACCCCTAGGTGTAGCCCTCAGGGAGGGGGTAGGGGATGTGTTCTTACCCCTAGGTGTAGCCCTCAGGGAGGGGGTAGGGGATGTGTTCTTACCCCTAGGTGTAGCCCTCAGGGAGGGGGTAGGGGATGTGCTCTTACCCCTAGGTGTAGCCCTCAGGGAGGGGGTAGGGGATGTGTTCTTACCCCTAGGTGTAGCCCTCAGGGAGGGGGTAGGGGGTGTGTTCTTACCCCTAGGTGTAGCCCTCAGGGAGGGGGTAGGGGATGTGTTCTTACCCCTAGGTGTAGCCCTCAGGGAGGGGGTAGGGGATGTGTTCTTACCCCTAGGTGTAGCCCTCAGGGAGGGGGTAGGGGGTGTGTTCTTACCCCTAGGTGTAGCCCTCAGGGAGGGGGTAGGGGATGTGTTCTTACCCCTAGGTGTAGCCCTCAGGGAGGGGGTAGGGGATGTGTTCTTACCCATAGGTGTAGCCCTCAGGGAGCGGGTAGGGGATGTGTTCTTACCCATAGGTGTAGCCCTCAGGGAGCGGGTAGGGGATGTGTGTTCTGGGTAGCAGGAGGAAGGTCCTGACCAGGTGGATGACGCCACACGCAGCCAGGAAGAGGAAAGAGGCACGAAGAGAGATCCCAGCCTCAAATAGCAGCTAGAGCAGAAGAGAGGCAGGAGGGGTGGCATCATCATCATCACCACCATCATCATCATCATTAACTCATGGACAGCTATCAACTGATAATCTATGTGTGTGTGTGTCTTACCTTGATGATGAGGAAGAGGGCGGAGGAGGAGTCGAAGGCACCATTGTAGAGGGTGATGATGGTGGAGCGAGCAGAACCAAACAGGTTGCCTATCTACAAGAGTAACAGAGAGGTGAAGCATAACCGGCTGGGCCTGTGTGTCTGTGTGTGACTCATGAGTACACACCACAGACTGACAAAACCCCAAGTCAAACGGAAGTAAATGCATGGCCCAAGGCAAGGTTATGCTACATCATGGGTGTGTTCTCACTTATGGTCCTCTTTAATTACTGAGAGAACTCCTCTGCCCTGAGGACTGCCGTGTACATGACTGATGTTTATTCAGGAGGTAATACATATGAGAGAACAGACCTGCATGTTGGTGACCAGAAACAAGATGCCTCCCACAGAGATGAAGGACAGAGCCGGGAAGAGGAGGACGGACAGAGCTGAGAGAAAAAAAGAACAGACTTAGCTCTCTTGAAATATTGCAAATTGCTGACAAAAGTGTAACAAACGTTCCAACTGTTGATAAAAATGTATCAAACGCCATGGTGTTTGGGTAAGCTGTGCCATAAAGCCTGTTTTTGAAAAGTCAATGATTTTACCTGAACTTGAGAAGGCCACAAACAAGGCACCAGAGGTGTACAGGGATCTGGAGAATACACACACATAAACACTTGCTGACAATCAGAAACAATGTGTCACAATGAGACCAGTCAGGGGGTAATGCTTAAAGAGACTCAGGTTAAACTTGTTGTATTCTTGCCCTCTGGTGGACCTCCCACTGTCCTAGCCCTGTTTTAAGAGCCTTAGCCGTGCTAGCTGTGCTTTCCTGGTCCTACCTAGGAGGTCTAGATCCCATCTCCATCTCTCTTTCTAGTCTCTATCCTCTCTCTATTTGCATTCCTTCTCTTTTCATTTCCCCTCCACCTAGAGTGAAAACATATGGATTGGCTTCTGATTGGCTGATTGGAGTTTGTTGTTGCAGATTTGGAATCTGCGGCTATGGAAGTTTTTTTCAGTAACTGGGTCTGTGCCACACTGGCCTAGTTGGCCCAGTCTAACCCCATCAACCCCAGGCTCAACCACATCCTGAATACTCACAGTCAACAGCATAACCCCCAGCCCTTAACTATATCTGTAAATGTCATAACTCTTCCACCCTGTCCAACTTCATTCCTCTTTCTCATTCCCTCTCTGTTGGCATGTCCACTCTCCCTCCATTCCTCACCTCTGGCAGTGCTCTCCATGGACACCGCCATCTGGCTCTGCCTTGCACCGTCTCTTGGACAACTAGGCACTGAGTCCAATCTACTCCAACAGAAAACTGTAACCCAGGCAACTCAACTTACCCCACCACTTTCCTTTGGTCTCTCTCTCTCTCTCTCTCTCTCTCTCTCTCTCTCTCTCTCTCTCTCTCTCTCTCTCTCTAGAGAGAGGAGAGGGAAGAGAGAGGTCTCTCAGATCATCTCTCTCTCTCTCCTCTCTCTCTCTCTCTCTCTCTCTCTCTCTCTCTCTCTCTCTCTCTCTCTCTCTCTCTCTCTCTCTCTCTCTCTCTCTCTCTCTACATCTGTTATTGTGAACAGACATGGGAACCCTTCCAAGGAAATAACAGGATGTGACAGCCAGAGAAAGAGGGACTTAGCACTGGAAGGTACACACACTCATACTTTCCACCATCACTTAGATACCAGAAGCAGGGAGAAAGATAGGCAGGGACAGAGTGAAACTGTTGGAGAGAGTGGTAAAGAGATAGACATACAGGGGGTTCTCTGTTATGGCTAAGGTAATGGCAGACTGTGTCTTATTGGCCATATATCACACCCCCTCGGGCCTTATTGCTTAAATAACAGCTGGCTGCTTCATAGCACTGTGCTTTTTGACGGTCTCTCAGTCTAACAGCCATGAAATTAGTCATTAGTGCAGCATCGACCACAGACAAAGAAATCTCAACTCCCATGAGATTAGGCACATATTAAAGCCTCACTAACTGAACAGATTCTTAAACATTTAACAAGATGTTATAATATGCTGTCTTCACGTAACACCAAATCCTTGCGGGTAACTCAAGACTTAGCGCAAATCAATGGTTGATGTCAACGGGAGATTTGTGTGAAAGGTCAAGCTACAGTCTCAAGTTAAGATAAGACAAGGCTCATATAGCTGTGTTCAGTATCTTGTTTTAGTGAAACTACTGCATTAGGTTGTTTACATTATCTCTGTCAATTGTCTCTTGCCAGATTGTTATGGTTATGGTTGAATATAGGTTATCAACCCTGTGCAGTTTAATGATGCGTTATAACATGTTTATAAAAATACTCACATTCCCAGCAGCCTGGCCACCATGGTGCCGAAACGGTCAAACAGGAAGCCATTGGGCAGCAGCAGGAAGTTGTTCATGAAGGAAGCGATGGTGAAGATAAGGGAGAACTGTTCATCTTGTCCACTGCAGTCTGACACACACACACACACACACACACACACACACACACACACACACACACACACACACACACACACACACACAGAGGCAGGCAGAGAGCTGTCAGTATGGACAGGTGTGTGTGTGTGTGTGTGTGTGCATGAGTGTGCCCAGGTCTCTGAATGACCTTAAAAATATTGATTTGTATTGTAAGATATACTGTGAATCCAAACAAATTATACATTATGTGAGAATGTGTTTGAAACGGGATGGTGAGGTGTCTCAGTCACTGACCTAGGAATTGCGTTCCATTGACCCCGGTAGTGTTGACACACAGGTAGCTGAAGTAGCCTTCCGTCTTCAGGACGAACACCAGGGAGGCCCAGCCGAAAACGGCCCCCGCAAAACACAGGCACTCCAGCAGCCCTGTGACCAGGGTCAGCCACCGCCGCACCACCGCCCCACCCTCACAACCCAGCATGGTCTTGTCCCGCACACACACACACACCTGCACTTTCACTCTTTCTCTCTTTTCAGGTTCCCTCGTGGAGTCACTTCACCTAAGAGAGAAAACAAGAAAAATAGAAAATCAGAAAACAGAACCCAATAAAGATTTTTAAAAATCCCATCTCTTCTCTGAAAGTGATTTCAAATCTTAATGACTCTTGAATGCCCTCTTGAATAGCATATACCCTAAAATAATGCTTTTCTGTGTAGTTTTGATGACTGGCTATTGCATTTTGCTGCAGTTGCATTGAAGGCAAACATAAATTTCTAACATTCCAAACATATTGCCAAAGAAACCAGATGTAATAAAAAAGAGACAACTGCCTCATTGCAAAATTCATTTTTGTGGACAAATGAACCACTTACTCACGGTTCAGAAGAATATCCCCAGCTACTCTTATAAAACGTATCCTCTCTCTTCCCTCAACTCTATTTTTCATACTTTATATAGCCTTCCTTCCACCCAGTCTCCCCTCCCCTTCGTTTGACCCCTCCTCTCCCCTAAATCCCTCTCTCTCTCACCAAAGGAAGTCCTATTTTCAGGTTTTGTCTGATGGCGAACACATGAATGTGAAGGAAAAGATACAACGAAAGAAAGCCAATACATGCCATGAAAGCAAATTAAATGTCATATGGGAGAGATACTTCCAATATTGCCCATCTGTAAAAAGGACTGTTCATTTGGCTGTACTGTTTTGCTTGTCTAAACTGTTGCTATTTACATTGCTAGTGAATGACCAGTGTCTTTCATGCGTATCAAGGGCATTAGCACTTAGCCTTTGACATCCATGCTCCCTCTCACACTCGTTCACTCCCTACCAGTAAAGTCAAAGGAGGAAGGGCTGGAAGACTCAATGGGTGAAGCATTAAACTATAAATAACGACCACAAGATCTGATGACATCATAATTCAGTTTTTACACCTCGGATCACAAGACCTTCTTTGCCAAAACACAACGTAACTTCCTCAAATCCATGACTGCACACGTCAAAGGCTAGCATCATAAACACGCGTAGAGAAAGAGATAGAGAGAGAAATAGAGACAGAGAGAGAGATAGAGAGAAATAGAGAGAGTTGAGATAAAAACAAACATACAATCTATCACACACATGAAGAAACAGTTATCAAACATACAGAGTCAGAGAGATCATACATTCACATCCTATTCAGATCCATTACTTTTCATGTGTGATAGGATTTATCTTATGGATAATATATCCCAGGTAGGTCTATGTATTGGAACTCTTCCTCTCCCGCACTTAAGTCTAGGGGAACTAGTGGTCAACGTGCCAGATGTAAATAGACTCTGGATTCAAGTTACTGGCTCCAAACTGCTCTAATCAGCAGATTTTTGGGCAGTATTTGTCACAACCATCTTTATAATAACCAGAAACCACGAGACTCTCTTTCTCCATCACCATCACACTTCTCATGCCACTGCCAGAAAGCACTGTCCACTTCCTCTTTCAGGGGGCCAGGGAGAGAAAGGGCATCAAGGTATCAACCACATGTCTGAAGGGATCATCTTAGGGCAAGGGAATAACATAGAAATATAATGGATGCATGCAATGTTCATCAACTCAACATTGTAGATGGAGGAAGGTTCATGGGCTATTGGGAAGAGAAGATAACCATACCAGTCCTTATCTATTTCTATGGATACCATCCATCTACGTCCTAGCACGTATCTATAATAACACCATGATTATCACCCCAACACATCAGTCCACCTCACAACCCTGCAAACAACAGCTGTCACTCAAACAGCCACTATAATAGAATGAACAGTAGTGACATCAGTTTTAGAACTGATTAATGTCAACACGCTAACAACCAAAACGATATTGATGTAACCGAGTAATAATACACAGCTTCTTCTATACAGACGAGACTGAACAAAATCTATCATTGGAGTGACTGTCATAAAACAGGGAATAGGAGCAGATTCTGAATCCGACACTGTAGCTATTTCAGACTGAATAGAATAAGAGCCTGATCCACACCCTGATCAAAGGCACTTAAATATTTTGTCTTGCACCTTCACTCTCTAAATGGCACACATACACAATCCATGTCTCGTTTGTCTCAAGGCTTAAAAATGATTATTTAACCTGTCATCTGATTGAAGTGGATTTAACAAATGACATCAATAAGGGATTGTAGCTTTCACCTGGATTCACCTGGTCAGGCTATGTCAATGACATCAAATTCAGCCGCAGCTGATTTTTTCTGGAGTGGATGGTAGGTGGGCCTGAACATAATTTGTATAAGATCATGTGTCTCTCTATTTTGCGTGGGAATACTTGGGAACAGATTTCTTAAATTAAAATCACTTGGAGCTGATTTCCTGGTGTTTTTACAGTCTTTTATGTCCAACAATGAAAATATTTTTTGCTTATAAAACTTAGGGGGGCAAATAAAACCACCCACAGGCAAAATTCGTTCCGCTGGCCGCCAGTTGGGGAACCCTGGTCTATGTCATGGAAAGGTGTCCTTAATGTTTTGTATACTCTTTGTATATTGTGCTGTTAGTGTAGCTCGGTGTACATATAGTAGCCTACGTAGCCAACGTCACGTCACGGTTGGAGATGTGGCTTGCGCCAGGCTGTAGCAGCAATAAAAGCTTGGAACAATGATTAACAGAACCGTTATGTAAACCTTTGCTTTTCTATCAGTTAATCTCAATTTGAGGCAAATCAATCTGGTAATGAGGTTATTTAGCAACTGTGTTAAACAGAATACTACACTTTCCCTCAACTAAAGCATACTGTAATATGGGAAACTTACAATCTCGGGGATATATAGCCTAGCTATAGCTCGACATGAAGGCACACCCGCAACAAATATACCAACCACTGAACCAGTAGCAACATTATCTATGTGTTATTTCACACCAGCTAAAGTAACATAAGTATCCTGGGAGGTTAGGGTACTACCAGTCTGTTTGTGCCATCATCATGCCACTCCTTGTCAATGTCATCAATGAAGTTAAAATTATATCGAAAACAGATCTGGGACCAGTCTAACAGAAGTAATCCCTCTGTGTCCTACCGTTTTCATTGTAAATAAGTTTTAAAATGCGTTGTTACTAGCAAATTGGTAGTAAATTGTCTGTTGCTATTATTATAAGCATGGGTCTGTTATTGGAAAAGTGTAGTAAAAAAGACCCACCCGAACGGAATCCTCCTGTCGCCACGTATAGCCAGAACACAGTGGTCTTGCAAACGCAAAAATACATCATAATAAAAGACAGGCAGGCAGGCAGGCAGTCAGCCACTGGCTTCACTGTCAAGCCTCGAGCATTGCTCTTCAGCCTGAGGTGCATTACAAATGTCTGTCTTGCACAATAAATAGGTAACTGGAGTGGCATGACAGACGATAAGATAGCTAATAAGACCAGTGGCGACCCATCATTTAGGGCAGGTGGGGCTATTTATAAAATACAAAATATTTAAAAAATACAATAAATATATAAAAATAAAATTGTTGCCTGTTTTGCATGTTATTTTGGCATAAATATATGTCACATATCAGTTTGCAAACAATGTAAAAATATTTTTATTAAGTTAATAAAGCCGAATACAAACATGGTCTCTTTTTTGCTTTCTTGAGTAAGGCTGCTCCCAAGCCTAGCTCAGTGCTTTCTGTGGTGGAGGGGCAGCCAACTGAAAATACAGAGCGTAGGTGTTGGTAATCTTCTCTAGTTGCGCCGTGATTGGCTCAGTGTTCTGTCACTCACGGGGACAATACTCACCGCAGAATCTACAGGGAGAGCTAGGCAGTTCAAGCCCTGTTGGGTGCGGCCATAGATTTACATTAGAAGTGCCCATCCAAGAAGGCTCAAGGTCATTGGCCACAGATAAAATGACATCAAATCACGTTATATATACCGTAGCTTTGATTGGACTGATCATGTCAACATCATACTTTCAAAATCTTAGCTAGCAAGCTAGACAAGCAGTCATCATCATGAATCATGTGGACGATCTACTGGAAAATCCTTTTCAATCCTTGTCATATGAAGAGAAATTATAGATCAAATGCATCGGTGCTCATCAGCCATTGGACATAAACATTACACAAGAAGTTGGAAATCGCAAATTCAACAATGAGTGATTTGGAAGGAATCAGTGGCTAACTGCAAGCATTACAAAGCAATCACTATTTTGCTTCCCCTGCCTGCTATTCGGTGGAGAGGGTGGTCCAAGTCTCGGTTTAAGGGTCTATTTTCCAAGCTTAAAAGGATAAACATTCACACGCAACACCATGGGACAGAAAAAGGTTGAATAGATTGGCCATGCTGTCAATCCAGCATGACTTCTGCAGTGTTCAAAACAACTAGAAACTCGGAACTGGGAAATCTCAGACTTCAGTGAGTTTCTACAACTTGATTGGAGTCCACCTGTGTTAAATTCAATTGATTGGACATGATTTGGAAAGGCACATACCTGTCTATATAAGGTCCAGTTGACAATGCATGTCAGAGCAAAAACCAAGCCATGAGGTCGAAGGAATTGTCCGTAGAGCTCAGAGACATGATTGTGTCGAGGCACAGATCTGGGGAAGGGTACCAAAACATTTCTGCAGCATTGAAGGTCCCCAAGAACACAGTGGCCTCCATCATTCTTAAATGGAAGAAGTTTGGAACCACCAAGACTCTTCCTAGAGCTGGCCGCCCGGCCAAACTGAGCAATTGGGGGAGAAGGGCCTTGGTCAGGGAGGTGACCAAGAACCCGATGGTCACTCTGACAGAGCTCCAGAGTTCCTTTGTGGAGATGGGAGAACCTTCCAGAAGGACAACCATCTCTGCAGCACTCCACCAATCAGGCCTTTATGGTAGAGTGGCCAGACGGAAGCCACTAGTCAGTAAAAGGCACATGACAGCCCGCTTGGAGTTTGCCAAAAGGCACCTAAAGGACTCAGACCATGAGAAACAAGATTCTCTGGTCTGATGAAACCAAGATTGAACTCTTTGGCCTGAATGCCAAGCATCACGTCTGGAGGAAACCTGGCACCATCCCTACGGTGAAGCATGGTAGTGGCAGCATCATGCTGTGTGGATGTTTTTCAGCGGCAGGGACTGGGAGACTAGTCAGGATTATCCTTGATGAAAACCTGCTCCAGAGCGCTCAGTACCTCAGACTGAGGTGAAGGTTCACCTTCCAACAGGAAAATGACCCTAAGCACACAGCCAAGACAACAGAATTGGCTTCGGGACAAGTCTCTGAATGTCCTTGAGCGGCCCAGCCAGAGCCCGGACTTGATCCCGATTGAAAATCTCTGGAGAGACCTGAAAATAGCTGTGCAGTGACACTCCCCATCCAACCTGACAGAGCTTGAGAGGATCTGCAGAGAAGAATTGGAGAAACTCCATATATACAGGTGTGCCAATCTTGTAGCGTCATACCCAAGAAGACTCAAGGCTGTA